TTCTCAAAGAGCTTCCCCAGGATTGAAGTAAGACTAACGGGCCTATAGTTACCCAGATCCTCCCTCTTCCCTGTTTTAAAGATGGGGACCACAGTGGCCTTCTTCCAGTCATCCGGCACCTGGCCAGAGCACCACGAGTGCTCGTAAAGCCGTGCCAGGGGCCCTGCGATAACCCCTGCCAATTCCCTCAACACCCTGGGGTGGAAAGCATCTGGACCTGCTGATTTGAACACATCCAGCCCCTCCAGAAGTTCCCTAACTTGGTCCTCTCTGACCCTAGGCCTGTCAGAGTCTCTCCTGAGTCCATCCTGAATCTCTGTGAAGTCCCGGTCCTGATCTCTGCACAAGAAAATGGAGGCAAATAAATTGTTAAAGAGGTCTGCTTTCTACTCTGATGCAACCACCAGATTGCCAAGCATATCCTGCAGGGACCCCACATTGCCTAGTGCCTTCTTCATACTCCCTATGTATTTAAAAAAGGACTTTTTGTTATCCTTGATGCTAGCCCTAGTTCCGTATCTGCCTTAGCTTTCCTAACAGCCCCACTACAGACCCGAGCGGTGGAGGTATACTCCTCTTTGGTGATAGCCCCTCCCTTCCACTGGGTGTACGCCTCCTTTTTGGCAACCAGGTGTTCCTGAATGCCCTTGGTGAGCCAGGGGGGCTTTTGGGCACTCTTGCTCCCTTTGCTTCTCATTGGGATTGTCACCCCTTGGGCTCTGATTATCGTCTCCTTAAGGAATGACCACTCATCTTGAGCACCCAGTTCCCCTACACTCCAGGACCCCAGTGTCCCTCCTACCAATCTCCTCAACTCATTGATGCTGGCCCTCTTGAAGACAAGGACTACTGCCTTGCTGCAGGCCCTTGACACCCTGCGCTGGATGGTGAATTCCAGTAAGCGATGATCGCTATCGCCCAGGTGGTCAAGGACCTGGAGTCCCCTTTCCAGGTTGCCGCCAGGACCAGGTCCAACAGGGGATTCCCCCTGGTGGGACTGTGCACCTCCTGGGTTAGGTGGGGGTCCTGTATTTCGGCAAGGAACCTTTGTGACCGGTCAGACCTGGCTGACTGCTCCTCCCAGCAGATGTCTGGGTAATTTAGATCGCTTATGACAACTACATCCCTTGCCTTAAGTGCCTCCACAAGCTGACCCGAGAATTCCCAGTCCAGCTCTTCCCCTTGATTGGGGGGTCTGTAGTAGACCCCCACCATTAAGTCCCTTTCCCCATGACCCCCCTGTATTCTGACCCACAGCACTTCAGCCTGCCCCTCCTCAGACCCCATCCTGCTGGTTGAGGATGTGTATTGCTCTTTGACATAGTGCAATGTGCAATGAAAAGTACTCTGGGTGGTTTTGTTACTAGAAAACAAGAAAAATGTTTAGGATTAAGAAGAGTCCAGTGAAAGAGTGGCTACCCCACCATGCTGTTTTTTTAATCACACTTTTTCTTAAGGAGAATTTGTCCAATGTCTGCCTGCCTATGTGTTTGGTTGCATACAGTCTAGAAGTGTTTTATCACCTGGTGATGAACCTGGTAATGAAAGCAGCAGGAGTTCAAAGGTAGCATTGGAGGGATTCAATATGGAAACTTTGGTTTTACCTATGTAATGTAATTAGCCTTGCTTTCAACAATCAATATAGCTGTGCCTGTACAGACGCCTAGGTACAGGCTTTGGGCACGCAGAACTTTGCACTGATTTAGCTCAAACATTGCCTTGCTCCATAACCAGGGGCTCAGCACTGGTATTTAAATGGTGTAAATACCATATTTATTTTAATAAAGGTAAGAGTTTATAGATGTTGAGCATTATTTTCAACTCCAGCCCTCCTGCGCTCATTCAGAAAAGTGGATTATCTTCCTGGAGTAATGTTTTGAGAAACAAGTGAAGGGAAAAAAAGCACCACAGCCTTCCCAACCCCACAAGACTATATGTATAATTCCTATCCCCTTAATGCTTTCTATATCCTAAGGTTTCATGTCAATTCTACTTGCCCTACGGCGTAAGCCTATAGTGAATTCCCAAACACTTCTCAATTGAAGTAGTTTGCCCTTTGAACCCTCTTCCTATCAGTGATGGTTTGTTTTGTAAAATGACAATGAGTGAGCTAAAGTGCAAAGGAGACGATTAATGACTGCGGCTGTCCAATGCAGGTTCAAAACCATGTAGAGAGGAGCAGGAATCCCAAGAATCTAGGCATTCCAGTAATGACCGTGCAAAGTAGCAACAAACTATTTACTCGACTGACAGAACCTATGTGCAGGTGCTGAATGTTCACCCAAAGAGATAAAAGATGGCACAAGATTCAAAAGAACTAATTCAGACTCTTTCCTTTTTAAAGACAAGGTCATTGATCTTAGGCCCCGATCTACAAGTTATGACACCTGGACAAACCTTTACTCCCCCCTAGTGCCTCACGGAAATAAGGAACTCCATGAGGGTCGGCCTGCATATTCTATCTTTTGAGAGTGGACCCTTATAGGGTTATTTATTGTTTTGTTCAGTCTTTTTACATTTCCACTTAATTTTTATCATGGTAACATGAATCAGTTTGAATAGCATCTTACTAAGAGAGAGACATTTCATGCCATAGGTTAGGGATCTTTTGATGACTTTTTTTATATCAGTTAATTGACACAATTTTTCTGTTATTGTTGTTGTTCAACCGTATCAATTTTGACCAAATAGTCTGATTTCTTATTAAAATGACTGAGAAAGAGAAAGAACCCAATGATAGAAGAGCCAATAACCCAGTGATTTGGAAAGTCACCTAGGAAGAGTGGCACCTCATCCTGAATGAACGAATATTTAATTTTTTACATGAAGTGGAACAGCTTCAACTGTGAGACTAATACAGGCAGGACAACTTGAACTTGGGGCTCCTACATCCCAATACCATAACCACAGGACATTATTTAATCTCTGTGTGTCTTTTTCTTTCTTCCTCTCTCTCTCTCTTACCACTGCCACCCCACCCTCTCTTCAATTTTTTTGCCTATCCATTTCCTTAGTTTGTAATGAAACTTTTGTAAAAGGCCAAAGTTTTGCCTCAATACAAAATTAAACCAAATTTTGGTTGAATCGGACTGCTTGTTCTCTGAACAGTTCTATGTAATGGCAAATACTCTGTAGCAATTGCCTCTGAAACTCACAGTGGGACAAATAGACCCACCTGTAAAAACCAGTCACAGAACGATTCCTCCCTTTAAATAATCTCTTTAATATAATTGAAGTTAATGCTTGAAAGAGACATTAAAATTGGAAGCCTCTATTAATCTGCAGAATTGTTAAAGACCAATCAACTGCAGACTTCACCTTCACCATTGCCTCAAACTTTGCATTATATCTATAGCAGTGGTTCTCAACATTTTTATACTTGAGGCACCTCTCATTAGACTGAAGGTACACTGTGGAAAATGTTAGCTCTTAGTTTTCATTGGTTTTTTGACTACAGAAAGATAATAGTGCTGTTTTTCTGTTGCAAAAAACTCAGAAATCACGCAACAGGTCAGAATGTTTTTAACACTGTGGATTCCTATTTGAAATCTCTGGGTTTGCCTTGTGAATCATGTTTGCATACCTAACAGTGCTAACGTTGTGTAGCACCCTAAGACAGCTTTGAAAGGATCTCAAGACACCCTAAGGGTGCTGCGGCACCCTGGTTGAGAATTACTGATCTACCGTGAGAGGTTAGCTTAGTCTTTGTATAAATTCTATCTAACATTTCACCTGAGGTTGCAAGCAACAAATCTAGTTATGACAGGTGTATGGGCATCAAGTATACTGGGAACTAGACTAAGACCAACAACTCATTTCTCAAAACCATCATGATTTCCTGTCATTAACAGAGTGAATGAATTTAATAAAAATACCTAAATTTAAACCTGTGACTTAGTCATGAAAGGCTGTATAACCTAAAACCAAGCCCCTCAACCAGCCATCTTATTTACAGTTTACATAGAACTCCTTGATTTATAACTGACCGCACAGACTGAAAATCTCACATTCTCCTCTCAGTGGTTTATATTTAGGTTCAGAAAGCCATCCACAAGCTATTAGCAACTGTTATTATAACAATGCTTCAAGATTCATACCCAATCTCAAATGCTCGTTTGATATCTGAGCTCTGATTTAAACCATCAGCACATATGGTCAATTCAATCTTGAAGCTTACTTCTCAGCCACAACCAAAATCCTGCATTGCAAACTGAGTCACTGGTTTGTTACCCAGCTGGCACATACAAGTATGAGTTATAGAAAAGGGAGCACAAGCTACAGGCACAAGATGTTGCTCAGGAAAATACTGCAGAACAAAATAGTGGCTAGCTGGTGGTGTCATCCACAATGTTTCATTGTTTAATAATGTTATGAACCAAAATTAACTTACAGGTTATCAGGACAATTATTTGGCATCTCCAGCCTCCCTCCTGATCGTACATGATGCAAAACCTCAAGAGTGGAGAAACCTGGATATGGCTGATGACCCAGGGTTAAAGTTTCCCATACTAAGACTCCAAAAGACCTGAGAAAAGTAAATAAAGGTCGAATGTCAGTGATTTTAAATGATGGTGAACTTTTAGAAAAAATATCACTATGTCTGTTCTCATTTAGCTAAATTTTCTCTAACTTCAAAATAAAGTTCAGTTGGAAAAATGAGGGCTATTGGACTACTAATTTGATATGAACCAGTTCATATATTCTCAATTGCATCTGCAGATCTGCTAAAAATTCTACAGATGCTGAGCTATGATGCCAGTCACACTACTGAGACTAATTCTATAAGACAGTGGTAGGTAACTACCTACATTCCAGTTGCAGACTGGAATGGCCCCCCTGGGTCAGAGGAAGGCAGCCAAGGGAACAGTAAGATCCAGTCACTGCCACTGCTTGTCTCTGCAGCAAAACCAGAAGAGTGTCCACAGCCAAAGCCCTGCAACTACCAAATGCCGCCAAAGCCTCACATCTGCAAGCCAGATCTAGTAGTTCCATGGGACAGATCTGACCCACAGGCCCTAGGTTGCCAACCCCTGCTCAAAAGGGCTGACCATCCTCAACTTTCATTAGCTCCATGTATCCTTTGGTCATATCCTGTTTAGATACACAAGGGTTCAGAAGTCTCCAGGGATGTCCTTGGAAGCTGAAGGAGTTACTAGTGCTCAGTGTCACACAGAAGGAGCTAGACTGCACAAAGGAGTGAGTCCAGGGCACTTAATATTTCACTTATATGCATAAAAGTAGAAATACAATGAACAGGCTGCAATGAAGGACAGGGTGCAGTCATGTCTGTGCCTGGGTGGGCCAGAGCCCACCAATGCCTAGATATGAACTTATGTGAATCCCAAGTTTAAGCAAATGTATTAAAAGGGGGGGGGGTTATGAAGTTGAGGACCAAAGTGTCCATTCCAAGCTATGCCATGGGAATGAAGCACTATTGAAACTATGCTGGTGCTTGGGAGAGAGATTCAGAAATGGCAGGGGACCTAATAATGTATACTAACTTTAAAACAAATAAGATCATTGGGGGAGGGTGAAAAAGCTAAGGAGAAAATATTTGCCTCCTATAGGGAGGATATGCTATTTGATCTAAAGGACAATGAATAGGGAGAATGTGATGTTGATGATCCATTCATAAACCAAAAAACACATAAATGATCCTTTGTGGGAATCTGTACAAGATTATTGTGGTCATATGACCCTAGGAACTTCTTACAGGAGGGCAAAGTTAGACTCTAAGGCTGTAAATAAAGAAATATGAACATGCAGAAATATGAACAGCTGTATGTCACAAAGTTACACCTTCAATTAGCGCATGAAACATCAATCAAACAGACAGAATATGTCTCAGTACCTAATTGACCAGAGGTGGCACTAGAACAACGCACTATTGCTACTGTAAACTGATTTTTTTCTTGCTTTAGTATTTATTATTATTATTCCCACAGCTTTGCCATGCCAGGAACTTACCATACATCAGATCGACTAGTAAATACACCATCAATCAGGCTTTCAGGGGCCATCCATCTCACAGGGAGCAGGCCTTCTCCTCTTTTTCTGTAGTAATCATTTTTATAGATATCCCTGGCAAGTCCAAAATCCCCAATCTTCACTATTCGGGAAGCGCTGCTGTATTCCTTCACAGACACAAGGCAATTTCGGGCTGCTAGGTCCCTAATTTACAAAGCATAAACAATGACAGAATTGTGAGAACTTTTGCTAGGCTATTGTTTTTCAGTTTGAAATATTTGCTCCTTCAGCTATGTGAAAGAATCACAAAAACTACAAAGAAATTAAACCTGTACCTGTGGATGAAGTGCATTTTCTCTAAATAGACACAACCTTTGCAGATATCCAGACAAATATCCAGAAGATCAACTAGTGTTAGCAAGGGACTTTGGAACTACAAGAGACAGAGGCACCAGTTATTATCTTCAATTTATATACGTGCAAAACAAAAAGGATCTCCTGCTATGCCAAGATGGGTTATTTTTCTCTTTTTTATATTAAAGGTTTTCTAAGGTGAAAAATCTTTGTACGTTAAAAAAGCAGATAATGTCAGTTATTCATAATTTAAGAACAAGTGCTCTACTAATGCAGGTGAGAGAGAGCCAAATAAACCACCTACTTTTACCTCAGGAGAAGGATAATGTCTCCAGAAGCCCAGGGGATTATTTGTACATTATAGTGGAGCAACTAGATGACCAACCTGTGGCATGGTTGCAACAAGTTGCATAGGTAGCCTCTGTGTATAGCATGTGGCAAAACAGGGAGGGTAGGTAGCACTGTGGTATGGGAGGGAGCAGAAAGCAGAGCAGCAGATTGGGCAGGGGAAGGGCATAGAAGTGGTACTTAGAGCAAGTACAGGATTTAATTTTTGGTACACCTCACAAAAAGTTGGTCCTCACCAAATTAGGCAGTAAATAAACTCATAATATCTTGGCTCTACATTGCCTTCTTCAAGGACCTTATAATCCATATTGTTATTCTGTGTACTAAATATGGACAACTTAACAAAAGTTTCTCTCTCCTCCCTCATTTCTTAGTTTCTAAGCTTCTTTTATCAACTAAACTCTTTGGGGGGCAGGCATAAAATTTGCCTGTGAGCTTGGGCTCTTCCTAACACATTATATATATTTCCATGATACAAATAACAAGAAAACAGTGAAAATACTATGCTAAAAGTTTGTTTATGATTATTTCAAAGCACCGTAGGAAGACCCAGTGAGCATTTTATGAGTAAAACCCATTTTTGAAAACTCAGTCTTTGATCTGTTAGCAGCTCAGAATCCTGCTACACAAGAGATCTGAGTTCAGATTATGAATTTACTTGGTTCACTACTCACTCAGATTATGAGCTCCTGGGTAGCAAACAGACCAGCCAGTCCAGGGACCCTCAGATGGAAGAAATCATTGGACAGACAGGGCTTTGTTGGTGGGGAAAGGAGGAAGAGGGTGGGATATTTGAGGAGTAGCATCAGTAGCTAAAATGCACCCTGTTCCCACCTTTTGCATTCTTGCTCCTCGTAGATAGCTAAGTAGATCCCCTCCTTCCATCAGTTCCAAGATAATGTACTGGGGTTCATTCAGCAGACAAACTCCAAGTAACTTAAGGATGTGTGGGTGATCAAATTTGCTGAGGAAAAGAAAATGCCTCATAGTTATCCATGAGAAATCCTGCCCTTTAATAGCGGAGTTAAACATATTCCCTGTTGTTGTGTTGTACTAGCAGCTGTATCTTTAAAATCCTGCCATATGAATAGCTGGCTTAGGAAAGCTAGGTGATTCTGGATCTCCTTCAGCTTAAGGGGAGCTTGGGTTTATGCACCTGAATTTTAGTTCTATGTTAAACATCTTAGGGAGTCGTTCTTATGCACATGCATGCATAGCCAGCACCCTGCATAGTATTTTTAGAAGAAGGGAAGTGAACTGAAGTAAAAAATGAAGATGATAGTGTCCTTTTGGTGGGACTTAATATGAATTTCACTCTGTCCTTGACAGATTGGAGATATACCATATTTACTCACATAGCACATACCCCTTTCCCCTGAAATCAGCCCTGCAAAATTGGGCTGTCTTATGTGGAGAGCTTGATTTTTTTTTCCTTTGCCAGAACAAAGGAGACATTGTACTGTAATGCGTGCCACTTCTCTCTGTGCTAGCAAGCAACAGCTGCAAAAGGGTTAAACACTGTAGCTTTTGCCCAAAGTAGCCAGTGAACTGTTGCATATAGTTAGCTCTTGGCCACAAATCTGGAAATTTCCTTTCTAAAAAAACCCAAAACAAAACAAATTCTGCTTCCAAAAAAACAAGCTGCATGTCCTATTTTGAGGCATGTGATAAGTGAGAAAATACACGAGGTTCTCAACTTCCAGCTTGCAGCCATCCAGTCTCTAGCCTATGGAGCCACAGGACTCCCCATAGGCTGGATTTGGTGGTGGGGAAGCAATGGTAATTAATGTACCACTGCTACTCCACCACCAAATTTCCAAGCCCTGTGGCCAGATGGCATGGCCCCATACACTGGACTGAGCCGGCACATAGGACCAGGGTTGGGGGCCTGATCTGGCACATACGGGACCAGAGTCAGGGCCCAGGTGGAAGGCACAATCTTATGCATATGCAGCTGAGACTGGGGCCAGTGGGCCAGGGCCAAGGGCAAGGTACATGGGGCCAGGCCTGGAGCAACAGGCCCAATCTAGCATGTGGAACCAGGGCCCAACCCAGTGTGTATGATCAGACCCACATGCTGATCCACTAGATTGAGTCCACAGGTCAATCCCACGCACTGGGTCCAGCCTGTGGATGGACCCCACACTACTCATCTGACCTGTAGCCTAGAAAGGTTTTAGAGCTTTCTTCAACGTGAAATTAAATGAGAGAAATTGTTCCATTTTATATTGGTTGCTCTAATCAAAGTAGAACGACACATCCAGACCATTCCAATCTATAATAGGGGCAAATATTCACAGAAAAATATAATTTAGAGATATCAAAGACTTTTTTTTTTCAGTTTCTCCAGGTGTCTGTGGAAAGTTGTTTCTTTTATCACATTTTCAAGACAGAGCTAAATCAGTACAAGTACTACGTCAAATGGAATCTGTTTGCAATTGCAAACTTTTGTAAATAGACATTTATGGGATATTACAGGGCTACTGTCAGTCTAGCATATTTAAAAAATGAATTGAATTAAGAGTAGTTACAGATGGAGGTGCACCAATACATTGGTCCAATATTGGATCAGCAGTAATATAAAGAAAATTGATCTTATTAAAAATCAGCCTGATGTGGCTGATAAATGCCCTTGTATGTGCGCAGCCACAGCGCAGCACATAGGCAACAAGGAGCACAGCCCAGCACCTTAGAGAGTTGCATGCAGCTGGTAAGTCTGGTGGGGTGAAAGAGGAGGAGGGAAGGAAGAGGTGTGGGGGAGGAGTGGGGCTGGGGCTGGAGCACGTGCTGCTTAGCCGGGGCAGGGCAAGTGCAGGACAGAGCCATGGCTCATCCGGGGGCATGGAGGGGGGGGCGTGTGCCCCCTGATTTGTGCGGGGTGGCACAGGGCACATGCTCCTCTTCCCCAGGCCCTCTCGGACAAGCAGCAGGAGCAGCGGTGGGAGGTGCCAGACAAGCAGGTGGGTGCTGGACCAGTGGCTCCTGGACGAGAAGCACTCAATGGCAGGAGCCGTCCTCCCACTCCCCGCACCCCCAGATGAACCGCAGCTCCATCCCATGCCCACCCCGCCCCACCCCAGCTGGGCAGCACTTGCCCCAGCCCTAGTCCTCCCTCACCGTGGGGCCCTTGATCTGCCCCCCACACCCTTTCCCTCCCCGCTCCTCTTCCAGCACACCAGACTTACCAGCTTCATGCAGCTCTCCAAGCTGCTGGGCTGGTATTGGAACTCGGATCAGTATTGGCCAATATGCCTCCTTAAAAACTGGCTTCCAGTATCAGCCCCAAAAATCTCTACTGGTGCACCCCTAGTTTCAGACTCTGTCAACCTTTGTATTTTTGCAACCATATTTTCTTGCATTTTAAAATTGTTTTCTCTCCCCACTGCTGAATGTAAGAATACACCAATAATCTGGGAAAGTGACAGTATTTCCTTCAGTTCTGGTAATCATAGGCATTGCTTGTGGCAATAGTCAGTAAAATTTTGTTAGTAGGAAGTGTAGAAGTTATAATTTAAAGAAAATCCCTAACTAAGGAGATTGAGTTGGTAATTGGAAGATTGTTCCTCAGTGAAGTAGCCAACCAATCAGTTAGTAAAAGACAGACCAAGGGTCTGCAGATGTTGTGTACTGCTCCACAAATTAAGTGTATTTTCCTCATTCACATATGCCTGGGTTTACTGAACCCAGGGATCACTGCAGGAAGTGTGATTTTTAAGTTGACAGTTCCCTTTCCCTTCCTAACATATACCTCTTGGTCACACACAAACTCTAGTGCTATCAAGAACAAAAACAGGAAAAAGAGCACTTGATACTTTTTTCCAAGCCTCCCAAAAATTTCTCATTAAGCTGTCAATCCTTAGCTTTATAGTGATTAAGTATACCAAAGATTTTGCAATATATTCTTGAGTACAAGTGACTCATTTATTAATACCTGATGTCAAAAGGTTAATTGAAAACATTGTGGTGAACTCAATGTCTCTAGCAACAATGCTCTTAAGTTCACTGCACTGCTCCAAGCAGACTGCCTCTTAAGCTAAAACCAGGTACCCACCTCTCTATGGGGCTTTGGGCCAGTTGGAGGACCGCTGAATTACAGTGCTAATTAGGTTGTCCCTGAGCTAACTTACCAGCCTGTACAGCCCTGTGGATCTGGCTACACTGTGTCCAGTTTAAGAAACAGCCTACCCGGAGAACTGCAGGACAGTAAGCTTATTGTATGGACACAGTCAGAAGGTGACTCAACTGCTTCCTTTCCATACATGCCAAAACTGGAAATGAGGCAATGAAGCTGCTTTGAGTGCCTTACCAGTACTAGAGGCATAGCAAAGCAGCCATGCACCCTGAGCAGCCCCAGTGCACAGATGTAGTTCCGGCTGCCATGGTGTCATTAGTAGTGGTACATTCGACACCACTGTGGTGGCTACTATTTTATCCTAACAAGGAAAGCACCTGAGGCTGCTATTTTATCCTAACAAGGAAAGCACCTGAGGCTGCTGCCCGACTTCCCCCACTCTCCTCACCCCCCACCCCACCCCCTCTTCAGTCATACTACTGGTTTTATCGCTGGCATATAATAGTAACAGAAGCAATATATGCTCCCTATTTGAACACAGTGGTGTGCAAAACATTACTGTCTTCTTTTGCAGTATATATTTAGAGAGGCAGGCCAGAGACAGATTACATTTAGAGACAGAATAGTCTGCTCCAGTTATGTTGTCCATTCAGTATTTAGCTTTAACCATTTGTGGGTCACTTACTAGATCAATATCAAGAAGCTACTTGATATCAATATCAACTACCTGAGAGAATGAAAAAATACTTCCCGTTTGTTAAGTGTCTCAGATGAAATCTTAATAACAAGCGAAACACTAAAAAGTTCCTGGTTTAGTGAAAGAACATGACACGTTTATGCATTTCTCACATTCTGCTAGTCCAGTGTATGTTTAAATTTTAATTTTAATGAGTGTCACTCATATTCAAGTATGACTACTACTGATATTGGAAATTAGTTTCCACATGTAGGATTCAGGAAATGTGCCAGGGCAAATTGGTGCCTACATTCCCCCTACCGTCAGCCAAGGTGGTGTGATGATGTTCTGTTGCTCATTCTGCTTCCTTCGTAGTGGAGTGCCAAGCTCGCTTATCACGGGCTGTATTCTCCCAGGACATTAAGTCTAGCCCAGAAGACTGTATGTGCCGCTTAATGCAGTCCTTGTAGCAGTTTGGAACAGCCAACCTTTCTACTGCCTTTTTAAAATTCACTGTACAGAGCTCTTCTAGACAGTCGATTGTTGTCCATATGTATGACATGGTCATATACCAGTGTATGTATGTGTGTATAAATGTAACTACAAGATTTCAGTAGTATATATTCTCAGCTTTTTGTATTGGGATTGTTTTACTTGTAAGCAATAGATGCATCATATATTTCATTTGTACCATATATAACATAAGAAGACCTTAAGGTCACATAGAGAAGCATTCAAAAGCCAGAACACATACCCTTAACACTTTTACTTCATGAATGTGCATTTTGACAGTCTTTCATTATAATATCCCAAATTAGTATTTTCAGAGGACACTGCACAGTTTGCACAGGGGAAACACAAAAGGAACGTGAAAATCATTTTAAAAATGTATGGAACAGAAACAAATAGGAAGACTGTACATACTACAACTGCTATCATTACACCAAAATTTAATGTTACACTTTCCTTAGAAGACAACCCATTTTTTTCAGAAGTGTCCCAATTTTGAGTGCCCAAAACTGAAGTCAGAGAATAGCAGGTGCTCAACATAGCTGGAAATTAAGTCTTATTCATGCTCTTACACTATGAAGTGAAAGACTCTATCTCAACTCTCAGTGAACGCACTGGGGACTCTGGAGAACTTCAATTTCCAGCTCAAACACTGACCTTTCTAAGTAAATTCATTCACAGCTGGCACATAAACATACCATATGTTTGTGTCCTGCTTAGCAAAAGAAGTATATGGCAGCCCCTAGTGGTGAGCCTGCACATATTAAAATAAACATTTAACTGTAAATTCAAGTTGTATAGCATCTTCTTATCCTGAAAAACAGAAAAATCAAATGCTGTCCAATTATCATCACTAACTGGCCCATAGGGAGAAGCAATTATAATGAATCACTTCAGTCTAAGATCCAGTAAATCCATGAAATTAGTACACTAAATTTTCAGTTTTATTTTGCCAACCAATACTGCAGATTAATTTTGGTATGATTCTCCATGTGAAGATTTAATTATTTAGCCAAAATGGAATGGACCCAAGCTATTAAGTGTTTCTCTCTTCCCTCCTGAAGTCTAAAGCCCTCGGTTATATCAGTTTAAAAAGAAATCTTAAGGTAAAGTTTGCCTTACCTCATTAAGTGTGCCTCCTTCAGGAATTCACTCTTTTCATAATCTGTAGCACCTTTCTTTAAAGTCTATTTGACAAGGGGGAAAAAAAGTCAAGACAATTGCATCACTGACACTGAAACTTGTACAACATTTATATAAGAAGAGATGCAACAGGCTGGCCTTTTCTGCTAACACTTCCCCCACTCCCAACCCTCAACACATGCTTTACTATTACGTATTTCCAGCAATAGCCACAAAATAATAGATACCTTCTAAACAAAATAAGTCATCTATGCCTTTTCCTTACCGAAAGATCCCAGTTCAAGGATAGACTAGTAAACAGACAAAAAAGTATGGGAAAAAGGAGTAACTTGGAGAAAATGGATACTTGAGAGTATGTTAGAAGAACTGGCTCTAGTTGTATACTACGATGGTATTAATGACAGAATTATTTTTAAGAGGGTCCTCTTGTTTGTTATTAGCTTCTATTTTCATCAGGAAGCCCTTGGCAAAAGTAAAATTACAGGTGCAGTGTTGCTGTACACACTGCCGCACAACCCTATTCCCCAGTGCTTGATTAGCATGATGATTAGTGAGGAGAGAGACTGGATCTTTAAGTTTGACCATTCAGAAGCCAGTCATTTGGGGTTTGTCTAATAAGACTTTTGAAATGAGGGTGTGGATTTTTTTTTAAATGACTGCAATAAAGAAATATAGTGTGTTGCCAGAAATATAGAACTGTGCAACAAAATCTCAATGATCAGCTGCATCAGTGACTCCATTACAATGATCAAGGTTGTGAGGTATTAGGAGGCCTAATGAGTTATTCTCTCACACAAGAGTTTTTTAACTGAATGCATGTTTGATCTAACTGGAGTTCCTATGAGATGTGTTTCTAAAAGTGTTTAAATATACAATTTAAGTGAAATTTGTACCATGATTGACGGTCTCCAAGATTTGAAGTTAGCAGGTGCTGTAGTGAAACCTCAAGTCCTAAGTGACTGTGCAAGCTCATACAGTAATTTAGTAGCAGAGACAGATATACAAACCATGCCTCTTGACTCTTATTCCTGTGGTCTAAACACTGAGTCAGGATTGCCTGCCTATGGTGCCAGCAGTATAACGAGGAGTGGGCAAGTGGGGCACTGTCCTGGACAACATCTTAAGAAAGGTACACAAATGGCAATCACTGCTGGTGCCAACCAGACTGCCACTGCCTCGGGCACAAAACTTCCTATTTATGGTTCTATATATCATGCTGTCTCTACGCAGCTAAAATTACCTTCACTGCTACTTTGGATTCTCTGCTTCCAGCTGCCATGATATCTACAGCAGTCCCTTCATACACCTCTCCAAAAGCTCCTGTTCCCAATAACTTATGCAAATTCAGTTTTTCCCGAGGAAAGGCTGGCAAGGATTCAGTCTCACCTGGAGTAGGGAGATTGCTACAAAACAAAAGTATTTTTAATTAATTAATTAAATGAGTTTCTTAGATATGAACACTTCATATATTTTGCCTTAAACCAGTCTGGGGAATTCATCTCACCCCACCTGGTTGATCTGGGATGTAAATGATGCACGAGCCTTTTGAAATCTTTCTGCAGAAGAAGGTATTTCACCATTTGGCTCAGAATGAAACAAAAGCTGTGTTTTAAAACTGGCAGCAAACTCTTTTGACTATTTATCAGTTTGTGCCACAGTAGGAGTGGTTATGGCCTGTTGAAAATGTGGCACTTTTTTAGAGACCTAGAGGGGTAGGGAGCTCTTTTAAAAAGCTGGCCTTGAGTCATGGATCACTTTCTCTGAACAACAGGGGCTAATTTTTGAACACTGAGCACCCTTAGTTCCCTAGGCTTCACTTAGAGTTGTCAGTGCTCAGAGTTTCCTTAAACCAGTCCCAAAAAGCCCCACTAATTTTTTTGCTCTGGAAGTCACTTTGACACGCATCAGTTACGTACTGCACAGCATAGCAAGCATTGGCCAGTCCCACAGCATCATGAAGTCCCCTAAGTTGAGCTAACTCTTTGTCTTCCTTGACAAAAACAATCTGCCCAGGCTGTGTCAACTTTCTGGATTTCCACCTCTGGTGCCAAACTGAAAAAAAAGAAAATTAGAGATTTCACTTCCAAGATATCACTTTTACATCAGAGGGCTGAACAGTTAAATTTACTTTTACTCTCTGTTGTAGACAGTTTTCCATCTCTTCTCTGTGTTTGTGTCTCTATATATGAACATCAATAAAACACCTGACACAACCGTTAGTAACTGTACATGTTTTAGCACTAATAAAAAAGTGTAAAGCACCTAGCTTTACTACTTCTGCAGTGCCTCTGTCTGCACTGCTAAGCAGCATAGTGTTGCCCACCCACTCCCAAGCTGCACATGCCAAACCCAGAAAGAAGCCAGTGAAGTCACCTGGAGGCATTCAGGCCACTAGTCTCAAACAAGCTTGTGTGTCACAGTGGGAAGGTGCCTTCAGGCCAGCTTGACCATCTTATTTTCAGGTTTGGCATGTGTGAAGTGAAAGCAGGTGTGCAGGGCCACTGTGACTTAACAGCACACTCAAGAGCATGACAGAAGAGAAATATGCCCACTCAAAGAATACCCTCTGCTCTCCCTGCAGCGACTCAGTGGAAGAAGCCTAGGAACAGGAGTGGGATGCACCCAGGAGCAGATTCAAAGGGGCTGCAGTAGCATGACCACACAACCTTTTCAGACTGAACTGCACTGAGGGAGGAGCAGCTGGCAAGTCCCCAAAACAGGTAAGAATCTCCCCTTCTCCCCTGTACTCAGAGACACGTTCCCCCACACCCTCCCTCCCCCTTCCTGCCTGTTGCTGCTGCTTTCATTGTTGTCCCAGGGGCACCAGAAGCTCCAAAGCCATTCCTGCCTGCTCCATCTGGGCTGCATGGGGGCCAGACTCAGCTGAGCTCAATAGTAGCAGAAGGGCCATGACTTCCCCCTTCCTACTTGGTCCCCCTGGGAGCTGGCAGGGTGAGGGGAACCTTCCTGCTCATCACTGCTACTACTGCTGACTCCAGCTGTTCTGCCAAATTTACATGATGAATTAAATGCTCAGTCACATACCAAAAGCAACTAGTGCAAACACAATCAAGATTAGTCCAGTTATTCCGATTACCACAGCTATGACAATGCTCGCCTCTGGGAAGGGTGCAGTATCTGTTAGATGGGGGGTAAAAGGGAATCATTATCAAGAAAAACCACATATGCATGAGTGAGTTAAGTGCTTTAGCTTTATCTTTCTGTCATTTCTTTAGTGCTCCATTGTTGTAGGTCAGGGCTATCCAACCTGAAGTGGCTGGGAGCCACAGGCCCCTTAGCCTAGGGTGGCCATCATAGAGGAGAGTCTGGTCATCCTCTGTCTTCTATTGATATGAAAATGGATGCCTTTATGTCCTCTATTTTTCTCTTGAAGAGAAAGCTAGGGGATATAAAGGCGTCGGGTTTCATATCAATAGAGGACAGAGTAGCAGAAAACTGGAATGTCTTCTATGATGACCACTCTACCTTAGCCACATATCGTGTGGGCCACACATTCCCAGGTTAAATGTTGCAAGGGATGCATGCCATGCTACTCAACACCCCCTCCCTCCCACTGCACTACACAGTCCCTGACATGCCATATGAGGCCCCCACCCCACCACCACACCATGCTGGTGTATCATATAATTCCTCCATCCTAGTGAAGCACATGGGCTCTGACATGCCCTGTGGCCCCAATACATGGATATGCTACACCATACAAGACCCCTGCATATGCTAGCATGATGTGCAATGAGGTCCTGCTACACGTGCTCCCTCCCCCCCCACACCCACAGTGTGATCTCCAGGTCCTCCCAAGCCCTTTGGCCATCAGCTCCCTCAGCTTCACAGACTTCAGGGGTAGGAATAGGCAGAGGAAGTTGGAGAAGGCAGGGGAATCCAGAGACTCCAGTGGCAGCAGCCAGAGTGTAAAGGGGGGAGCAGCATTCAGACTAGGAGCCGAGGGGGCACAGTTTAATTCATGAGCCACCAGTTGGAAAGCTCTGCTGTACGTGAAAGAAGACAGCAGAACCATTTAAACAGTGGAGGCATGATTTTTAAAAGCACTAAGAATGGGGCTAACTTAGCTCCTACTGAAGTCAACAGTAAAACTCATCATGAAGTCTAGGGAAGCAGAGATAAGCTAATGCTGAGCATCTCTGCACCCTGCTCCTCCTTCAGGAAATATACCCACACTACACAGTACTGGTAAATAGATCTGTACCAATATTAACAACTGGAAATCATTTGGCCCCACGTCTTCTATGAAAAGAAAGTGCATTAGGTAGGATCAGCTGGGAATCATCATAGAAATGCTATTATTAATCATCCCTTAGGCATATTATTTTATATGTCTAACAATATCTTCAGGAAAAGTGTTGTCTGTTGATAAATCAGTAAGGTAGCCCTGTGTCCTGTAATTAAACTGTATCTTATTAAGAAAATAAAACAGCATGTACCTTTAACTAACACAATATTCTCACTTATGCCACTGTATTCACCAAGTCCAAGCAAATTTGCAGCGGCTGCTCTGAACTGGAAAGTTCCTTCTGTGTTCTTGGCCCTCCATATACATACATCAGTGCAAGAGTCATTGTAAACCACCTCCCAGGATGGTTTCATTTTGCTTGTATTATGGGAACACCTCCTAGAAAGAGCACGGTGGAACAACAATGATGAGAGTATTATCTACTGCTTCTCATATACCATTTCCATTCAATGGCCTACACAAGGACTCTCTTTATTGCACATGCTCCACATTCAATATCATTCCATTGGGGGTTTGGCTATAGAGTGACCGTAGCATGTCATTCCAGCAATGCAAGAGATCACACAGCTCTAGTCTGGCACAGAGAAGGAAATGCCAGAACATTTTGGATGTAAAAGGCCAGGGCACTCTTTCTCTTGTTTCAGCATGCATGTCAAAACCAGGATTTCAAACTACTGTTATCTGATTGCCAGCAAAATGTTTTGTTTCTTTTTATGATTAGTGGGTTTCGTTTTCTTGGGCCTAGAGCTATTTACTGTCTTTTATGCATCAGGTTTCACAAGCTAATACAGGAAGCAGGTCATTGGCACAAGGCACAATTCTTTAGCAAGTTATCATAACCGCCGGCTGGTGGGTATATTGCTTCCTTTTCACAGTGGTCTTAATTTGCTCACCTATAATAAATTTGGAGTCAACTGTTCACCATCTAAAGGAATAGCATATTTCTAATACTGATTAGACATGAAAATATATGTCCAAAAAAGTCATTTCATGTTATGACTATATGATGACTTCAGATTAAATGGCCTGGTATTTTATGCCATATGACCTTGTCAGACTTTGCAACCAAAAAGCCATACAGAAGTTATATGTATGTGTTATCAAGTTATTCATGTTATGGAGTCAGAACTCACTGAACTACTTAGTTACACTTCAAAGGGGTTTATGTAAATATTTTCTAAAATATTAATTGCTTGAGTTCAAAATGATCTATTTAGAGTCAAATGAACCACCGACTCACAACAAAAATCAGCAGAAGCCACTGACCTCTTCATTTTCCTGTGGAAAAGTAAATTTTACAAAACTGAGGAAAAATCAAAGATGCACCACAGACTCAATGAACAAACCAGGGGATTAACAGTTGGAAGAATACAGGGTTGTGAACATGCATGATCCCTGCATAAGGACAAGACCTCTTACCCCTCTTCTCATCTGGCAGATGCACAGAAAGGAAGGGGCAATCTGTCCTTTATCAAATCAAAATCATTGTGGTCTTACCATATGCAGTTCACTACTATTGTGTGCTTACAGAAGGGCATAGAGAACGCTTACAACACCAGGGAATTATGCCTGAGTGAAATTATACCGTTGTGGCAGTGCTGTCAACTCTTCACCTAAGTAAACACTAAATTAACTTGAGGGGCGGGAAAAGTTTAATCTTTCAGTTCCTTCCATCACCTCCTAATTTTCTTGGACAGGGAACAGGACAGCTCTCCCACCACAAGTAGGGGCAATCTTGAGGATATCACTGCCAGGCCTCAGGTCTGCGCAGAAGTAGTTAGGGATCTTCTGGAAGGGCTGGATGTTTTCAAATCTGTGGGCCCTGATGCCCTCCACCCATGGGTGTTGAGGGACCTGGCGGGGGTCATTGCTGTGCCCCTGGCCCGGCTGTATGAACAATCGTGGTCCACAGGCCAAGTGCCCAGAGATTGGAAACTAGCTAATGTGGTCCCCATCTATAAGAAAGGGAGGAAGGAAGACCCGAGAAACTATAGGCCCATAAGCCTCACATCGGTCTTGGGGAAAGTCCTTGAAAAAATCATTAAGGAGCACATCTGTGAGGGGCCAGCAGGGGAGATCATGCCCAGAGGTAATCAACACGGGTTCATCAAAGGCAGGCCCTGCCAGACCAACCTGATGGCCTTTTATGACCAGGCAACTAAATCCCTGGATGATGGTGTTGCCATGGACGTAGTCTTTCTGGACTTTAAGAAGGCCTTTGACACTGTCTCTCACCCCATTCTCATTAATAAACTGAGCGACTGTGGCATTGATGCCTACACAGTTGGATGGGTCAAAAATTGGCTGATGGGGCGCATCCAGAGAGTGGTGGTGGAGAGGTCATACTGGACCTGGCGGGATGTGAATAGTGGTGAAGGGAGAGAGAGGCTGCAATTAGATTTAGACCAACTACAGAAGTGGGCGGATGGTAATAGGATGGGCTTCAATGTGGATAAGTGCAGGGTGCTGCACCTGGGGAGAAGGAATCCACAGCATACATACAATATGGGCAGCTCCCCCCTTGTGAGCACAGAGGCGGAAAGGGATCTTGGAGTCATTATTGACTCCAAGATGAACATGAGCCACCAATGCCAGACAGCAGCCAGCAAAGCCAACCACACCTTGTCGTGCATCCAAAGATGCATCTCAAGCTGGCCCAGAGAGGTGATATTCCCCCTCTACGCAACATTGGTCTGGCCTCAACTGGAGTACTGTGTCCAGTTTTGGACACTGCACTTTAAGAAGGATGTGGCCTGCCTTGAGAGGGTTCAGAGGAGGGCCACCCACTTGGTTGGAGGGCAACAGGGCAGGCCCTATGAAGAGATGCTGAGGGACCTGAACCTGTTCAGCCTCAGCAAGCGGAGGCTGAGGGGGGATTTGGTGGCTGCCTACAAACTCGTTAGGGGAGATCAGCAGCAAATAGGATGAGCCCTAGTCTCCCCAGCAACACCTGGGGTGATGAGGAACAATGGCCAGAAGCTGCTAGAGAATAGGCTCAGGTTGGAGATTAGGAAGCACTATTTCACTGTCAGGGTAGCTAGAATCTGGAACCAACTTCCTAGGGAAGTGGTCCTCCCTCCTACCTTGGGTAAATTCAAAAAGAGGTAGGATGAACACCTGTCTGGGGTCACATGATCCTAGTGTGTGCTCCAACCAGTGGCGGGGGGTTAGACTAGATGATCTATTCAGGTCCCTTCTGACCCCTAACTACTATGAAACGATGAAACATGACATTATAGAAATAGCTCCACAAAAATATATATTTAAAATATGAAATGCATTAACCAATCTTTAAATGAATTAGTCTTTACGTTGTATGTTTGTTCTATAACATTAAAAAAGAATCCCATCCAGATTCCAGATTAGGAAATGGAACCAAAGAACCAAAGAAGACATGGTTTACAAAAACATAAACTCAGAAAAAAGATGAATGGAATTCATACTTTTAGTCTGGACACTACTGGGACAGGATTTTTAAATTGTAGTTAGAATTCTCTAGAGGCAAATGGATATGGGTATTTAGCATAAATTAATTATTGTTTGCCTGAGGATTAAGTAAACACATTTCCAAGAACCTGGAATATTTCATGCCTTTTTCTGACAACAATTTAACTTTTTCTCCTAATTTCTCTTAATTCCTCTGGATAACAAATTATGTATGTGTATTAAATTCAGAGCCAACTCTAGGGGTGTGTGGGGCCCAGGGCATATCAGCCTGTGTAGGGCCCGTGCGGGGTGGGGTAGCAAGTGGCTGGAGCACAGAGGGGGGACAGGATTGGGGGTGGCGAGCAGCCGGAGCAAGGAGCAGGAGGGGAGGGTTTGGCCAGTGACCAGAGTAAGGGTGGGGGTGGCAAGTGGCCACAGTGTAGAGCCGGTGGCGCACAGTGGCCACATGCAGTGGTGGTGCCCTTGGCAGGGCCTGTACGGCACTGTCTGTGGTACCCCACAAAGCGCAGGGCCTGGGGTGGTGGCCTCAATTACACACATACACACACCCCAACCCCCGCAAGGGACAGCTCTTATTAAATCATTCCAAATTTTGAACTGGAAAACTATCTAAAACATTAACTGATTAACCAAAGTTTTTTCCAAATATGTTCTGGTGTGTGGGAGATGGCATAGAAATCCAGGATTTTCTATTTTTAGGAGTTTGTCTATGTCAGAAACGTTGTGAAGATGATATTTCACAAGATATTTCAGTATTTCTATCAGACACATCTTCAAGCACAAGGAAGACCTATCTTGGGTCTAGATTTTTTTTTAAATGATTAATGGTTTTGGGTACTTTGATGTTTGGGTACCCAATCTGATGCACCTCAAAGAGACTGATTTTTAGAACATACTCAGTAGAAGTCTCCTGAAAATGAAGCCTCTTTAAATTGTCTCAAAATGGGTATCTAGAACTGAGGGAGATAAAATTGCATATCTGTTTGGAGAATTCAGTCCTCTGCTTTTGAGGTCCCTTCCCAGTCTCATTAATTCGTAACCATGTCTATCCCTTCTGTTAGCAAGTACAGAGGAAGATGCAACTCAAGACCAGAAATCCTCTTGCAGCACTCTCATGTACAATAAGTCAGGTGGCCAATGTTCTTTCATGTTTTGTCTGAAAACAAATAAAGGGGCACACAAAAATATTTTTGAAACAAGGAATATGAAACTTTCACAATCTCTAGAAAAGCTTGTGTTTAGTCTATAATTGGGTTCAACATTTAGGTCTATTATTATTTCATCTGAACCTCTTTCCTGCCTTGGTCCTGTAAAACAATCTACCAGATGTACTTACATCAATTTGTCATCAGTCACTGGCTGATATGAAAGTGCCGTACAATTCATTTACCTGCTTTCCAAGATGTGGTATGTAAGATTACTTCCATTGTCTTCAGCTTTTTGCCATTGTACAACATTTTTATTCTCTTCTCTTTTTGGAATTCCTGGCTTACTTGGAACTCCAGCTTTTGGGCAAAATGAAAAAAGTAGAATCCTTAAAACATGAACATGATATGATGATGGACTAGAAGATCAAGAGCAAAACTTAGATAAACACATGTATGTTGAGAGACATAAAGAAAGCAAATGCTTGCAGCACTGGGACTCATGGAAAATTAATCTTTGGGCATTATTAGCAACACTTCAGTCAATACAGACTTCATAAGTTCCTATATATTAAGGTATATTATTTCAATTTCACTTTCTCTTTCCATTTCTCCCAATTTTGAAACACAGGCCTGCCTACTTTCCATCCTTATGTAGCTACCATACCATGTGACTTGATTGCAGGAACTGAGGCTGGGAGCTTTGTTAAATTACTTGCCCAAATATATTCAAAATGGTTGATGAACTGGCAGATTTAAGATATTAGTCTAGAATAACATAATTTAAGGGCTTACCCATAGTTTTAAAGCTTGCTGGAGGTGAGATGCTGTGTGTTCCTGTTACATAAATTACGCCTGCCCGCACAAAGTAGGCGGTGTGAGGAAGAATGCCTGTGAGATTACATGTAAACCTGGGTCCTTCAGCACATGAAGTAGTTGCAGGAGAAAACCAATAGTTCTTGGTCTGCCACTACAAAAAAAATACATCTTAGTCAACATTCCTACTTTATTAGGGGTGAATATATAGCCCACTGAAATCAACAGTCTTTCAATTGACTACATTGGGCTTGGGTTCAGGTCCTCTAAAAAAAACTGTATCACATATATCTTCTTCCAAACCAAAACTAATACTAGGCATTTTACATTTGTTTTTTATGAGAAGTGCAAGACCTGGAAATCACATACCCCTGCATCATGGTACAAGTATGAAAAATTCTGCCCTTGGTCTGTCATATTTAGGAGATGATAAGAAAATTTAGAGCAGGGTTTTTTATTATTTAAAATACCCTTTTTTAAAAGATGGCACCCATTTGGGAAGCACTGTGAGAGAAGACTAGGAGGAATTCTGGCACAGCCTTCTCAAATTCCCTTCTGAACTCCTAGGGCACGTCCAGATGAGTGTGCATGCGTGTCTTGCAGTGTCTCAAAGCCCTTTGAGATGCTGCAAGAGACACGTGCGGGAACAAAAAAATGTTCCCCACACTGCAAATTCACAGCGTGAGGGCAAAATTAGACCCCAAGAGTAAAAAAAAACTGCAGCGGAAAAAAGTGGGGATGGGCACAGTCCTGGACCATGTCCTGAGGCAACAGGAGGTTGGGTCCTCCACAGAGATGCTCAGGTAGCAGCCAGAGAGTCTCTATGGCTGGCCCTTGCCCTGGTGCTAAAGTATGCTGAAGCTGGACCCAGGTTCTAGTGCCAGTAAGTGGGGAGTGGCGGGGGCTGGAGGAGGGGGGAAGGGGACCATGGGGAGCATCCCAACAATTTAAAACAAAAACCAAAAAAAACCCGGCACTTACCAGCACTAGCAGCTGCCGTCGAGGTCACTGCGCCCCCCCACACACAGCGTGGGACCAGGTGACAACCACAGCGG